GGAGGGGGTGTTTCGGAAATCTGCTAAGAGGTGCGTGGTGGGGTGGCTTGAAGTCATCCCTTAGTTTTGGGGGCGCACATATAAGCTGGCTCACTTTCATTCGCATCTCAGTGGATTTTTTTGCATCCTAGAGAGAGCAACAAAAATTCAGTTCAGTTTTAGCGTGAAACGTGTCTTCCTCTTTTTCTTCTTCAGTAAGAGATTTGCATCGACACTATCAACTACGAATTTTGTGCATTGCTGAAGAAGAAAGAAAGAAAGAAAAAGAAAAGAGAGGAGAAAAAAGAGAAGCATTTCATATATCAACTGCGAAGAGTATCTTGTGGATTTCTGTAAGTAATATTGAATCATATATAAGTATTGCAATTCCATTACATTTTAATATATTTTAAAATGAATATATAGGTTATTATAAATTATTGAGACCTCTTGCGGCCTTCAGAAAGACAATTGTTTGCGTATTATATATATATATATATATAGAATGGAGTATTGAAGTTGAGTTAAAGTAATGTAGTTCATGGTAGGGGGAGGGTTTTCAAGGTTACTTTCCCAAAATAACGATCGGGGGAATAACGGAACGCGTGCGGTAGGGGCGGAGGGGTTTGTGCATGTTGCGGGCGACCCTCTCCAAAAATTCAGCCCCTGACCTAATACAACTGTCGGCAAGTTGCGGGACTTTTGCATCATCCGCACCACACGAACGTCCTTCTTCGTACCTCCCCCCACCACTGCCGCTACCCTTGACACCCTCCACACGCACACTTTTCCAAGAAAAAGGGTCGTCCTCCCTCCCCCGTATCGCGCGTCTTCACATTTCTCTCATCTCCCTTCTTTTTTTTCTACCATTGATTTTAGCCTACTTCGCCATAAATCTTTCCAAAACAAAAACCCCCCGTATCGCAGCCATCTCTTAACTTAATTTGACTTTTCATCTAAGCCATTTTGATTATTGCTATTATTAAATTCGATTTGGATAAAACAAAAAAAAATATTTAGTGATGAACCAACCACCAATGATGGTTTGAGTGGACCGCGCCGATCCGATTATTAGAACCAATAGAATTGTTAAGAACGAAAAGATCCGGGGATGACCGATCCCTTTTCTAGCATTTAGCAATGTAATTTGCAGCTGCAACTGTTGATTTTTATCGGGACGCATAGAGAGACGCGCAAAAACGTTTTCCTATCGAAATCGTCCAAATTTTTAAATCTTATTTCTTTCTTTTCGTGCACCAATAAGAATTGTTTAAACCTTCATAGCAGCCTATGATTCGTCGTTGTGACGCATATACGACCCATTTTAAACGTTTCAACACTTTTATTTGGATTAAAATTTATCAAATATTAAAAACAACACAAATCATTGAAAATTTTTGTATATAAAAAAAGCTTCCAGGTCAAATTCTAAACGTCAAATATTTGTGTTAATATTATTATTTATTATTAATATTAATAACTAAAGTTTACTAATTTCGTTTATTTATAAATACTAATAATATTAAGTGTTTACTGGATCGCGAACTATTTCTCATAATGTTTATGTTTTTAATCAAATAATTAATTATTTTTTGTATTTTACGCTCAAAAATCGTTAGTTGGAAATAACCTGTTATCGAATTTAGTCAAAAACCAACAAACCCTAGTTATGATTAAGTGTGAGAGGAGGATGTGGAAAAATAAACTAGATGTAGTCAAAATTTCGTTTTTCAAGATTATAATATATACAAAAAAAAACAATAGTTAAATACATATGCTTATTGTTGAAAATTACTTAAAAATAACGTTATTGTAAAGTGGAATCTACCAAATTTTACATTTGGTCTTTGGATTCATCGGCGAACCAACCGGGCAGTTGTAAACATTCGCAAACTCGTTGGAATTGCTGAGCGTACCGATGACTCTGAACCTCCCAGGCGAATGTACGGCAGTCCTCAACTTGTTCCTCGCCGCTTCCGGTCTCGTCGTCCCGCACCAGATCTGCGCAAAGTTCAGAAAGAACAACTGCATATTATCCAAATCCAAACCGGGCAATCGTTCGTTCTTGATGCTCTTCCTGTTGTTCTTCAGCCAATGATTGTAAGCGCGAAACGCCTGTTTTATACCGCCGTTATCGGCGATGTTCTCACCCTGCGTGTTTGTCCCGTCCATCTGCATGTTTGCTTCGGGCACGATGTACGCGTTGTACTGATCGATCAGACATTTGGTACGTTGATGGAATTCATCGATCGATTCCCGTTTCCACCAGATCTTCAAATTGCCATCCTTGTCGAAGAGTCGCCCCTTGTCGTCGAAGCCGTGAGTCATTTCATGCCCGATGACTACACCGATCCCACCGTAATTCAAGCATCTCGGAAAGTGGCGATGGTAGAACGGCGGCTGCAGTATCCCGGCCGGGAACATTATTTGATTCTTGTTGCGACTGTAGTAAGCGTTCACCACGGCTGGTGGTGAATTCCAGTAATTCTTATCCACCACGGTCGTCAGTTTCGAATGCTCCAAACGCGTCAAATGTTGCAGAATGCTCAAAGTGTTTTCAAAGTAAAAATCCGGATGAATCTGCACGTCGCTGTATCGCTTATTCAAAGCTCCTTCACTTAAAATGTAATTCGGGTATCCAATTTTCAAACGCATGTAATCTATCTTCAAGGCGGCCGCCTTCTTCGTATCAACGTCCAACCAATCCGTTTCCATCAGCAATTCTTTAAATGATTGCCGCAACTGCTTCGTCATCTTCAGCGTATCATTTTTGCTACGTTCATCGAAATACTTTTTAACAAACAGATTCCCCAAAGCCATGCCCAAATTCGAATTCACTTGCGATATGCAGCTCTGCCATCTCGCCGGAGATTGCTCCCGTCCGAACAAGATCTTGTAGAATCTCTGCTTAGCATCTTGGAATCTATCATCTAAATTATTCACTCTGTGCCTGATAAATCTCCACAACAAGTAATTAGCCGTAGTTCGCGGACTCGTTGTACTCAACAATCCCACCAATCTGTGCAGATAATTCAAACTGAACGTTACTATTGGATCTTCCGGATCGACGTCGCGATTCGTTATAATTCCAATGTATTTGAACCAATCGATTTGCGGTATTATCGAATGCAGTTGCCGCAATTTCAAGCGAACGTAAATATCCGATACGTTTTTCCTGTGCTCAGCGGAAACCGTTATGGAAGATAACTCTATTTCGAAATTGACGATATCTTCGGCGTCTTGATTCGCTACGGTCGGATCTGCGCCTAAAAGGACGGCAACAGTTTCTATGAAATGTTTGTAGGCGTCGACGAATTTCCTGTTGCCCTTCTCGATGAAGTAATCGCGCGACGGAAGTCCCAAAGTCGATTGATCGATTTGAATCACGTACTCTTCGGAATTCCTGATATCCGGGCCGACCCATTCCGAGATGATTATGTCATTGTTGTAGAGTCTGAGGTGGCCCAAAAGCCACTCGAAATCGAATCTGGTGTCGTTCCATGCTGCATCTAAGATCGGCCATCCGCCCAATTCCTTGATCAAATACAGCAACGGTTTGATGCCTCTTATCTTAATTAACTCCTCGTTCATGCACGATTTGAATAAAAATTTCGCTTTGGAGATGGCGTCTTCTGTTTGCGGATGCGAATGATTCAGGATCACTTGGTAGAACGGTTTCGGTACTTTCTTTTTTTCTGCGATTTTATAGAAATCGTACACGTGTCTTTTGTCGCGATTCTTCAAGTTATTCCAAAACTCTTTATCGATTACTAACGGATCATCTGGGACGTCCTCTTCCAGCAAATCTTTCAACACAGAATCTAGACTTTCGCGGAGCATTTCGAATGTGTCGAAGCTTGAACGGTCTGGCGGTATCGGATTGTATTTGTGCCAATTACCGCACGCGTACTGATAGAAATCCTCGCACGGGTTCATATCGAGATCCATCAATTTCTTCATGTTGTTCGCTTGCATTTCCCTGACTTGTTCGGGCGAATACTTTAGCTTCCAAAAGTTCTGATGCTCAATTTCCTCTTTCGTTAACGGATTTGAAGGTGCGTCGATGTCGAGGAGAACATCTCGCTCGTTACTTCGCGTTTCTGGAATCCTCCAAACAATTAATTTGCTCTCGGCGCCGTACATATCCTCTTCACTGCCATTAACTATTACCTCATCGTTGTTAACAAACCTTTTGATTCGTTCCGAAGCCGAAGTTGGCGACGTAGTTGTTGCTGTTATGTAAGAGGTTTTCGTTTCTTGTATAATATCGCGTTCCTCCGCTCCAAAACCCTCGCTGTCTCCGACATTGCGTCTCATCGTTAAATCTTCTTTCGTATCTGAGCTCGGTTTCGGCATCGTCGAAACCGCCGCCGCCGTGTACACGTGCGTGAAGAAAAGACATACCAGTATGACGGCCAAGAGGATGAACGGGACGAACGCGAGTCTCTTCAGCTTCGATTTCCATGCTTGCTCTTGTCCCACGCACCATTGCACCCTTCCGCTGTCGCGTTGCACCGCCAATCTGCACGAGTGCCATTTACTTCTGGATCCCATCAGATATTCTTCGACTGAAAGTTGAGCCTCGCACAACGAGAATTACGGGAACCTCTTTTATGGATTTGGCCTTCATCAATTTACTACCAACTGGGTCATTTTCATTTAACGTTTTCAATTCAACGCAGCAGCGCCGCCGGTTCCTCTCTCTTAATTTTTTCTTTCAATCGTTTTCGAATTGAATGCAAACAATATTAATAATTTAGGTTAACCCTTCAAAAATTAACGCAGTCAAAAAATTTGGAATAGTTTACGCACGCATTCAATGCAATCAAGTCATCTGCTAGTTGCGAAACATTAGAAACATTAGTTGTGTTGTGTGCGATCCTCCATCGACAGTCCCATCACGAGACAGCAGTGATGAGAACGTTGCCGAAATGTTGCATGTGGTGGGATGCTACTGCTGCTGCGTAGGGCAACATCGCTTTTATTATTCTGCCCTTTTTCGGTTCCTTTCATCACTTATTGCATCCCCTCGAAATAAAGGGATTTTCGTTTGGGATCGATGTCTGCTTGCCTGCTTGCTTTCCAGCCAGCTCATCGACACAGGCGCTGTTTGCACATTTCCCCATTAATGAACACCACATGTCCCTTCCCACTTGTCTCTCAACCAATTATTGATACTTCCTCTGGATCATTATTTTTCTCTGAAATTCTAGAATCTCGGCCGCTTTATGTTCAACACAAAACTAGAAAACCAAAGAAAGTGCCATAATAGCTCACAACTTTTTACCTGAGCACCCTAATGGAAAAGGTTTTTGCACGAGGACGGACCCCACCGGTCTTTAGAAACACAACCAGATGTGCATTATTTACCTGAAAACGGTTGAATTTCCTTTTATTTTAGTATTTCTTGTAGAATTTGCATTTTCTTTTCATATTTTGCACTGTAGTTAGAGTGAATTTAAGATGTAACGTTAAATATTCGAAATTTAGTTTGTTCATAGGATGTGGAATTTGGATGCATTTACAGAGTCGTTGCTTAGTAACATGGTGGACGAATGTAAGGAAAATCGAAACAACAATTAGAATGAAAATGGTTTGAACTTATTGTTTGATTGTTATTTTTTTAGTTGTTCCAGCGATAACAACGTATACAATGAATCCAACGAATAATGCTCAACAACAGCAACAGCAGCAGCAACGAAAAAGTCCATTGTATCCTACTGTTTCTTCGCCTCAATCGATGCAATTGCCATCATCACCGATTCACCCGCCGCCGATTCAATCACCAACTCAAGAAGAGGAAGCGGTAGCAAGTTGCATCTCGCCACTTGGATACAATGCGTGTCACCCATCCATGATGACTGGTCCTTCCAATGGAGTCTCGATTTACACATCAGAAATGCTTCAAGTACTTGCTCGCTTTGCTCGCATCTCTCTTTACTTTATTAATTGAGTAATTTTATTTTGAAGCGGCCCGAAGATGTTCTTAGATGTACGAACTGCAATGAGGAGGGAATGTTAGCGACGTCGAAATGTAACGATTGCAGAGAGGTGCTTTGCGATATGTGCGTGCTAGCCCATCAGAGAGTGAGGCTAACGAAAGACCATAGAATCCGAAGAATTTCGATCGCGGAAGCCGTCTTCAATGCGGCCGTTGCGCTGCCGGTCATCGGTCCGCACACCAATTCGGGATTGACTTCGATGAATGTTCTTGTTTCGCACAATTGCGAGATGAACATTGAATCGAACCGTTTGTACTGCGAGAATTGCGCGGCGACGGCGTGCATCGATTGCGTGCAGATCGATCACCGGGAACATAGTGTCGTCTACATGAACGAATTCAAGGAAAAGAACAGGGCGATGGCCATCAGTTTGACGATGGAAATGAGGGCTGCTTCGGGCATGCTCCTAGATACAATCAACGCCATCCAACGGACGAGCGACAATTTCGAATTGAAGATGCATCAGGTGACCCTTGACATTCGTTGCATGATGAAACGTTTCAGGAACGCCCTAGAGGATAGGGAAAGGGATTTGGTGATGAAGATCGAAAACCATAAGAGATCCAAGTATCTCTTCTACAAGAACCAAGCGCAAGTCATCAAGACCGCTATGAACAATATTGCTGTTACGTCGAACATACTGAACGACGCGATGAACAATGGGATGGTCAGGGAACTGGCAATTATCAACGAGAAAGCTATGATGGAGGTGACGTCGTTGAAGGGGTTGAGGCCAGAGCTGATGACTTTGGATGAGGCCAATCTGTATTTTATTCCACCCGAACATCACTTGTTGGGCGCCATCGCCAATATGGGTACTTTCAGTTACAATCCCTATACTCCACCACACAACAACAATTACCCTTACAGTTACCCTGTCTACTATCCCAACAACAAATCGAACTACAACAATAACAACAATCGGCAGAACAGCAAATTCACAGATTTCTCTCCTTACAACTTTATTCCCGATGAGACTTACTTGCCGGGAATGCCCAAGGGCATGCCCATATTTGGATGCGAGTTCCCCGTTATTGTTCGAAGCATCAGAGGACATTTCCCGATTGACACGTTCGGTTTGGAAGGTGTGAGCGATGGTTACATGTGCAGACCGTGGGGAGTTGCCTGCGACAAGAGAGGAAACTTCGTGGTTGCCGATAGGAGCAACAACAGAATCCAGATATTCTCACCCACGGGTAAATTCCTTAGCAAGTTCGGCAGCTACGGAAATGCGCCCGGGCAGTTCGACAGGCCGGCAGGAGTCGCCGTCGATGCGTCCGAACGCATCATTGTCGCCGACAAGGACAATCATCGCGTCCAAGTGTTCAAAATGGACGGCACTCTGGTGCAGATCATAGGTGAGAAGGGCTGCAGAAACGGACAATTCAATTATCCGTGGGACGTGGCCGTGAACTCTGCCGGTCAGATCGTTGTCACCGATACGAGGAACCATCGTATTCAACTGTTCGACAGCAAAGGCACCTACCTGAAAAAGTTCGGATTCGAAGGTGTCTCCTCGATGTGGAAGCATTTCGATTCGCCGCGCGGCATCTGCTTCACACCGAAAGGCAGAGTTGTCGTCACAGACTTCAATAATCATCGTATGGTTATCGTCGATCGGGACTTTGTTCATGCCCAATTCTTGGCTGAAGAGGGTTCCGGGCAAGGGCAGTTATTGAGGCCGCAGGGTGTTGTGTGCGATGACGAAGGAAAGATCATCATCGCTGATTCACGTAACAATCGCATCCAAGTGTTCGATGAGATAGGCAATTTCTTGTGGATGATCGGGCATACTGGTACAAATATAGGCGATCTAGACAGACCCAGTGGGATCACTCTTACACCGCAAGGTAAAATCGCGATCGTCGACTTCGGCAACAACAGAGTACAAATAATTTAGAAGTACTAAATCGGAAACGGGAAACAAAACCCAACAACTAAAGCCAGGCTAATGGCTAATTGACTATGACAAAAAAAAATTGTCCTTTTTGAGAACCAAACAATTTTAATTTTGCATTTTTTTGGTTATTTTTACGAACGGGCATTTCAATGTAACAAAATTTGACCATTGCCTGGCCTTTTCCTGTAGTATTTAACATTATATATATAAAAAAAAAGAATTTTCGATGTATTAGAGTATTTTTCTTGTACTCTTGTACGAAACTCGTTGATGAACAAAAGAAACAAAAAGTTAACTCGCACGAAAAAGTTTGATAGAGTTATATAATCATTTCTAATCAACGCAAATCTCCTATTTTTAAGTTTTTTATTTACCATTTTTTTTTCTATAACCAATCAATGTAGACACACTATAACCAAATTTTTGTCACATATTGGTTTAGTTTTTAATATTGATTAATTGATGAAAAACTCTCAGGGTATTTTCCCAATCTCAGGTAATTTATATTTTTATAAACGAGAGTACCTTGGTCTGAAACGACAAAAATAGGAATCTTTTTTCCTCTCAATTAATGCTATATATATATAAATATATATATATATACCTATTTATGTATATATATATACCTATACATATATATAGAAATATATATAATTTTAGATATGTTTATTGCTATAAATAAATTATAGTGTTTTTAAGAAGACTGATGATTATTAAGCATACATTTTTAAGACATTTGTATTTCATCAATCTCTGCATAAGTTTAGTATGCGTAACGCGCACAATAGTATCAACATCAACAATTTGTATTTCGTACACTTGATTGAATTTGTTTTGTTTTGTGTGTGCGGTTGGAAAGGAATTCCTATCAATGCTAGATGAGTACGAGGGAGTTTATGAAACGTAAAAAGGAAGGAAAAATGTTGATGAAATTTCAACCAAAATATCTTTTTTTTTTTAAGAAAATTTTGAAAAAAAACTTTTAGTGATACTGTGAATGATATAGCTACCCTTTCCGGAAACAAATATGTTTCCGGTTTTTTCTTGATAGAAGGGATTTTCACGTTCTTTAATTTTTTTATTACTTTGTGATACTGTGAGTCACAAATTGACATCAAACTTTTTTTTGTGTTATTTTTCTTGAGTAATTTTAAATTATTCGCAAGGTAACACTTAAATATATTATATATATATATGTGTGCAAGATATAATGATACTTGTCTTGTGCTTTTTTTTTAATTAACTTCATTTTTAATAATTGTGATCGCATATTTGGATGTAAAGAAACGAAGAGACTGTCGAGATCTATAAGACTGTATTTTTTTTCATAATATTTCTAATAATTTTTGTTTATCGTTTAATTTTTCTGATTGTCTTTACTACTTTGTGCCGCGTTTGATAGAAGTAAGTTAGTTCGTCTTTTGAATATTTAGGATTTCTCTTGTTCTGTTCTTTTTTTTACCCTTTTTATATTCTTATTATTATTACGCAATTATGTAGTATTTTATATATGCAACTATATTTGTATGCGACTTTATAATCCTTAAAAAAAAATATGGTGCAATTTTTATTTTACAATAAATAAATAGTTCCTAAAAAAAAGATTTTGTTTATTCACTTACTATCACTCACTATCCCAATAAATTAGAATTGTTTCAGTATTTTATCTTCAATTCTTGATGTATAACGCGTTGGCTATGATTAAATTTATAAAAACCATAGCCAACTCATTATAAGTCTCCATGTAAAAGATAAATGAATTTAGAAATAAATTAAAAGCGATTTGAGCATTAAAACCAATTGAATGAGAGCACCGATTAACGTACGTGCACAAAGCATGGGTGTGTGTAACGAATAGACCAGAAAATTATAATATATTATTATCAACATCCAATATTGTTACCTAGATACTTTTTTTATATTCATTGTTATAACAATAATAATAATGACTAACACACTTTACTTGTAACGCACGAAATGACTAAACCTTAGGTGATAATGAAATTTGCGGTGATAATTAATTCCTATTTATTTTTAATTTAAAAATCAATTCAAGAACTTTGAGCATTTAACGATTATATTTTTTCAGCTTCTTTCAGTTTGTTTCTTCTAAGTTTTATTAGTCATTTATAATTCGAGGAAATTTTGTTGAC